AGGAACGTAAGGATGCTCCATTGTTGTTTGGACATTAAAATTCTCAACCTACAGAGGACTGAAAAACACCCCGGAAATCAAAGTGAAAAAACAATGCTCAAGCTAGTCCATTTTTTGCTGAAATTTCATTGCAGCAACTCAAAATGGTACTCAGGAGTTTTTATGTCCCCCCACGTGCTTGTATGGCCCCCCACGTGCTTGACGGATGGTGTTCTGGGGTATTTCCTCCCAGATCTGGACCAGGGCATCACTGAGCTCCTGGACAGTCGGGTACAACCTGGCGGCATTGGATGGACTGAAACATGATACCCCAGAGGTGTTCTATTGGATTTAGGTCAGGGGAACGTGGGGGTCATTCAATGGTGTAATTAACTTCATCCTCCAGGAACTACCTGCATACTCTCGCCACATGACTCCAGGCATTGTCGTGCACCAGGAGGAACCCACTGCACCAGCGTAGGGTCTGACAATGGTCCAAGGATTTCATCCTGATACCTATTGGCAGTCATGGTGCCATTGTCTAGCCTGTAGAGGTCTGTGCGTCCCTCCATGGATATGCCACCCCAGACGATCACTGACCCACCACCAAAATGATCATGCTGAACAATATTACAGGCAGCATAATGTTCTTCTCCATGATCTTGAGACTGTGATAGAAGACACAGAAAACCTGGTAATGGCACGTATTGATGTGCCATCCTGGAGTAGTTTGACTGCCTGTGCAACCTCTGTAGGGTCCAGGTATCCCCTCATGCTACCAGTTTCATTGTTGCCCATCTAGTGCCCCTCTTATTAATTTTATTAACACCAAAGCAGCTGAAACTGATAACAACCCCCTCTGCTACTTAACTGACCAGATCAATATCCCAGGAGTTTAATCGACTTGATGCTATACTCTGATTAAAAAGTGTTACTTTAATTTTTTTGAGCAGTGTATTTCAAAAAATGCTGATATACTGGGAATCTAACGCACAACCATCTCTATGGTTTACAGAGAATGGTCCAAAAAAGAGAAAATATCCAGTCAGTGGCAGTTGTGTAGATGAAAATGCCTTGTCAGAGGAGAATGAGCAGACTGGTTCAAGATGATAGGAAGGCATGCTATCATGTCAATATAAACCAAAATCTCTGAGGAATGTTTCAAACACCTTGTCGTATCTATGCCATGAAGAATTAATTCAGTTCTGAAGGCAAAAGTGGGTCCAACCCAGTACTAGCAAGGTGTACCTAATGAACTGGCCAGTGAGTGTATGTTTGAATACCCCCAGATCATGGCAAAAGTTGTCCCTCATTGTTTTTTAATGTTTTTTTTTTTTTTTCATTTTTGCACAAAACCATTAAAAAAGGATTTACATTCTTCTGTAGAAAAGAGGTGGAACTAGCAGAACTGTTTCTCCATTCCCGGCATATATGGAAGACACTGCCCTTAAGGGTCACTGCATACAGTGAAATAAAATGAGTAACACTGACAGAGAGCAGGTACCATCTGATGGTGATTGCAGATTTTGCCACTACCATGGCTATGTGCTTATGGAACCTGTAGTTTGTTCCTTCCTCCGTTCTTTACTCCAAGGTTATATTGCCACTTGTATGATGGAAGTGTGGTGTAGCTGGGCATGAATTCAGAACTGATTGTATTCCCGTGTAGACAAACTTAGAGTAACAAGTAACCGTCTGAGCCCAAAATGTGATTTTGTGTGTGTGTGTGTTGTGTGTGTGTGTGTGTGTGTGTGTGTGTGTGTATATATATATATATATATATATATATATATAATTTCTTATTCGTATCAATCTTTTTTTTTTTTTCCCTACAGTATCTTGACAGTTAGGAAAAGTATTTTGTTCATAATAAGGAGCTTAGGATTTAAGCAGCCCTTGGTCAATGGCATTCTGATCACACTACATTTTACAGCTTCTTAAATGCATGTGATGGAAATGGTCTGCTTCAGTGACTGCAGTGTACCGGGGGCCTTGTCTGAATTGTGACCTTGCCATCCGTCTTAAGTTTCAGGCTTGCTGCAAGCTCTGTGTATTTTGAAACGTGCGAGGGAAAATCATAAGAGTGGAAATGGATAAATACCTTATCAAATGTCAGCGTGCAATTCCCATCTGTCTCCTTGCAGGTTTTACGATGTGACGCTTTGTGTTGACTAGTGAGCAGTTCTTTTTACAGCTCATATTTCATGGGCTCCTTATTTCATAACGCATCCAACAATTGGTCTTCTGCATATTTTATCCTGCTTGCTTTCTACCATATCACTGCACAAGCAGGTCTTAGTTGCCACTTTTACAGGCTTCTTCAGTAAGGTGGTGCAAACAAAGATAATGATGTGAAGACTGCAGGAACTTCTTGATCTTCAGTTTATTGTAGCACATTGTTAAAGGATATAAGAGGGGAAAAATGTCACTTTCACATTATTCAGTAAGCCTGTGTGTGTGTGTGTGTGTGTGTGTGTGTGTGTGTGTGTGTGTCTTTTTCACCTCTCAAACCCTTAAATTCCATTGTGACAAATTGTCTATTCTGCAATAGTAAAAAATCATTATTAACTGGAGGCTCATTCACTGTGTGTGTGTGTTAGTAACATAAGTGTTATGAGGCATGATATGATATTGTATGCAGAGTGTTCATTTTGCTAAGGCTTTCAGTGTACGCCAACTAATGTAAAACAGGTCCCACTCCATTTTTTACAACACAGTGCACTGTGGTGCAGAGTGTTCATATTTTGGCATATTATTTTGCCTTTCAGCCTGCATGAGCCTTCCCCTTTTTAAGTGTGGAGTCACACGTGCCATGTGAACTGAAGCTCCGTTTTCACAGCTAATTGACAAAGTAGTTGATCAGCGGTTCAGAACAAGTTTAGATCAGAATCGGGTCAGGATTTTATCCTGTTCACAACTGATGACATTTGCGATTCAGAAGTGTTCCTATAGAAGTCAGTGAGTCTGAATTCACACTTGAGCTGGACTGTACTGCTCAGAAAACTGAAAGGATTTTTTTTTACATTCTCACTGAATTCACACTCCGGTTGCAATACAGTATATGTGAGCACAATGGAAACCCAATATTATTTCACATGTCATCCAATTTGCATATATGTGAACCAGCTCTAAAGGTTTATTACAAAGGAGGCATTACCTGGGCTTTTCCGGTCAAGTGATCGCTGTGATTAGCCATAACAGTAATCATGTGATCAGGAGCCCATCCCACCAACTCCTGATCATTTACCATGTTGGTTACAGTGCAGTCACACTGCTAGGGGTGCTTCGTGAGCATACATCTATCATAAAACAGTAACTGTGTGCATATGTGTGGTAGCTTAGCATTAAAGCTCACTAATGTGGTGCCATACATACAGTATATGCATACAGCTGACATTAACCGCTTCTCAAATACTGCTACAGGGTGGCACAGGTGCACTAAATCGTGTGTGTATGTATATATATATATATATATATATATATATATATATATATATATATATATATATATATATATATATATTTTGATTTTGCATTTCCGGGTAGGGGGCGTATGCGTACCCTACCCGCACCGCCATTCATGACTGTCAATCACCAGGTCCCAGCCGGTGATTGCCGAGCATCTCCAACGGGGAGGAGAACTGTTTTGTAAACTATACAGTTCTCTCCCCTGTCAGCTTGTGCACACTGCTTTGAATGGCTGTGCACAGCACAGCCATGCAAAGCAGTGTGCTTACAGTGAAGCACACAGACACAAGTAAAACACACAGTTAACCCTTTGATTACCCCTCATGTTAACCCCTTCCTGCTCAGTGCCATTAGTAGTGTCAGTGCTTTTTTTTTTTTAGCACTGATCATTGTAATGGTGTCACTGGGGATGTCAGTGACACCAAGTCAGTTCCCCCCAGTGTCAGAATGCCCGCCGTAGTCCCGCTATAAGTCGCTGATGGCCGCCATTACTAATAAAAATAAATAAATAAAATCCCAGTCTATATGTACCGCCATTTGTAAACGCTATAACTTTCACCTAAGCCAATTAATTTACACGTATTGGGATTTTTTTTTTTTCTCTTTGTGTGATCATGCAACAGTGTACCCATATGAAATTTTTATCTTTTTTTCACACAAATAGAGCTTTCTTTTGGTGGTATTTACTCGCTGCTGGGTGTTTTATTTTTTGCTCTACAAACAAAAAAAGAGCAAAAAATAAAAAAAAAGTTTTTGTTTCTATTATAAAATTTTGCAAATAGGTAATTTTTCTCCTTCACTGATGTGCGTTAAGGCGACACTGATAGGCGGCACTGATATGCAACAATGATGGGCACTGATAGGTGGCACTGACTGGCTTCACTGCTGGGTGGCACTACTGGGCACAGGTGGGTGGCACTGCTGGGCACTGATCATCAGGGTGACCACCTGAAGTGTTGTTATAGATATAAATGGAGCCTCAAGAGATGTAAGAAACTGTTAGAACAAAGCTCTACAGCTTCTACCAAGAGCTAAATATCTCATGTACTGATCTTTATATTTGGAAAAGTAATTTGTAAAGTAATATGAGGATACAATTATGGACCAAAAACTATACATCATGTAAAGTAGACTTGTTTCCAGCACAATAGCTCACTGAAATGGTGTCTGGACTGAGCCAGCATATTAGGATACACTTATGTGTCACTCAGTTGATGTGATGTGTTGTGTCCATTTGGTTTTGGGATCAGCTTTGGCCATCATAAACAGTATATTATATAGCGTCTATGCTTAGCATTTCTAATGATTGCGGCTTTCTTGGCAGATATACATTTTTGCATTTACTTTTTCAGTTTTATATGATCCTCCTTGTTTCTTTGTGAAGGTTGTACTGTCAGAAATCTGGGCATTGTTTGATTAGTCCATTTTAAACCCAGATGTTTTAATGTAGATTTGCAATCGCTGTAGTTCAGGGTTTAACAATATGCTGTTAATGGATGCATTATGTTCTTTATTTCCCATATACAGCGCTGGTCCCAAAGGAGACAATATTTATGAATGGCGGTCTACTATTTTGGGTCCTCCTGGCTCTGTGTATGAAGGAGGTGTTTTCTTCCTGGACATCACATTCACACCTGAATACCCATTCAAACCCCCTAAGGTAAGACTGTCTGTTCTCTTTTCACTTTATTGAGGTACTAAAGTCAAAGTGAATGTTGTGTGTAGTTTTTAGGTTCAGATTTGGATTGAGGTTAGCTGCTTAGGGATCTTTGTTACTTCTGCTGTGTTTGACCATATTGTCCCTTTTATTTATGAAGCTGTACTTAACCAGTTCCACCAGCCATACTTCTATATGTTGCATCAGGGCAGGTGGGCCTTAACACCAAGCCGCCTCAAATATGTGTCTGCAGGTAACTGCTTTTCTGTGCTGAGGCTCCTAGCATAGTGACCGAGCTGTCAAGTATAGCTCCTGGTCTTTGGTTTTCACAGCAGTAACATGATCTAAAGCTTCCAGTTGTAAACAATCATATTGGTCACAGGATCAGGAAATTTACCTCTGCCACCTGACATTTAGACATTTTCACCTAAGGGGATGGCAGTGGCAAGTTGTAAAGGAGAACCGCCTGTATCACCCAACAATATTTAACCCAGCTGTTTTTCTCCAGCTGTCACTATAGGCTATGTTTGGATCTGATTAGTTACTGATGTGCAATACAGACAGTTCTTGTTTGAGCAATCTCTGGGTATAATAGACATTTGAAGTGTCAGTCATATAAACTGTGTAGTGAAATGTAGCCCTTATAAAAGCAAAAACTAATTGGTTCTTTTAACAGGATTATTATTATTATACAGGATTTATATAGCGCCAACAGTTCAGCACTTTACAATATTCAACTTTCTGCCAAACAGGCTCGTTCTATTATCAACTTTGCGGTTTAATAACACAACATGGTAACTGCCCCAATCTATAACTGGCCTTTGCAGCAAGGAGCGCATAGAAGGGTGATGCATGTCAAACAGAGAAAAATTCCCAGCTCACTTACCAACCAACCTGCAACCAACCGACTTGTCCTGTCTAACAGTTCACGTTAAAAACGGGTTTAGTTTGTACACATTTGCAAATACATGTAAGCTGCAGAGCCTCTTCATGGCATTCTAGTATTCAGTTCCTAACTCATTTTTTTTTGAGAGGCTCTATAGCAGAAGCACATGTATAATAATGGGTAGACTGAGGGCATGTAAGCCTGGAGGGAGCCCGCCCCTTCATAAGGGGGTTAGATGGGACAGTTTGGTTTGTTGCAGGCTGGTTGGTAACTTGAGCTGGGAATTTTTCTATTTTGCTGTTTGACTTGCTATTTAAACGGACTTCAGCATGTGTTAAGAGATAATTTGAATGACATTTTTAATTTAATTCCTGTAACTGTAAGAATGTTTACGCTCTCTCGAACAGCATTGCATACCCTTTTTATCTGAAGTGCCCTATTTAGGTAATGGTTAAAGCTGGGGGGGGGGGGGTTGGAACAGAGGATTTGTAGCTTTGTCTCCATGGGGTGTCACCATCCTTGGGCTCTTGTGATAATGGGGCATCAGGGTAACTACTTATCTGCTTCCATTACATTCTGTTCAGTGGTATTTTACTTTCCCTTCTATCCATTTCTCTATTCAATCTGCTGTTCTTGATTTCTTAGGCTTATGTAAAGAAGAAACTTTGTCATATCTATTAAATAAATATTCTGCTCTAAGGCAGGCTTTCCTCCAGATTAAATTGTTAGTAAAAGCTCTGCTTTAGAGCAGACATCACAATATACCTACCTTTATCATTCCTTCGTCAGAAAAGCCTCTTCTGTGCTCTTTGAGAAGTTTCATGTTACTGCGAAATCACATTTACTGACTTCCCCCCCCCCGTCAGAATACTGATTAAGTGGCCAGCTATTGCCTGCAGTGCTGATTGAGCAGGAAAATCTGACGGTGGTTGTACAGAAGTTCATTGGTTGATTAATTTCTGTACAGCTACAGCACCTATACATGGATGGAAATGTAGCCAATCCCCGCTGAACCGGCCACATTTTGATCGTGTAGTCCCTAGACATGGTACCTTTTGGGAGGTATTAATTGCCCCCCCCCCCCCCACCAAAGATGAAATCTTCTCTTTAGTAAACCTGTATATTTAACTCTACCTTGGTCTCTGTGAAAACTTTTGGGAAAAGCAGGAGGCCAGGAACCTGAGCAGGGGTAGGAAGTCTCTGGGAAGTTCACTATTCAGAGTTGTTGCTGTGTTTGTATGGAAGAGAAATCTTAATTCTTTATTTTGAAATTCTTGGAGGCATAGATGATGATATTTTAATAACTGATACAGAATGTAACTATTACTTGTCCTATAATTATTGTTAATGATACTGGAGGTACTGGATTTGCAGGTAAAATTTGCACCTGGTAGAATTTTTTAGGTCACAATTGTAATTCTTCAGATTTACCACAAGAGGTCAGAAGACTACTACAAATGCAAAAACAATGATCCTGCATGTTAAAGTTTGCTGAGTTCATCTGCAATTCACAGTGAATTCATTCATACTGGAATATGTTTTTGCCTTCTGTAACACACCCTTGGCCTCATTTAGAAGTATGTGCTAAGTAAGAGTCAAAGCATCTAGTCAGACCTGTAGCAGCATAGTTAGTCGTCTTTTTTTTTTTTTTTTTTTGTCTGAAGATAAACCTGTGTTTATCTCAGGAACGTTTACATTCACTGACTCACTACTTCTGATAGAAGTCTGTGCCAAGCAACAACTACTTCTTTTCATAACGTTTATAGTTTCTAACATTACTTTTGATATTCTTTCTGCTTGTTTGAGGTCCTCGTGTTCTTGATCTCCACTTCAAATTTAAAATACTGCCATTTTGAACCTAATTCACACTGTTAATATATTTTAAAGGTTTCGGTCTTTCTCCCCTTTCCCTTTTTTAGGCTAGGTTCACACTAGAATGCAGTGCAGGAAAGCTGCAATCCACTGTAATTGTGATTTGCAGCAGGTGTTAGTGTTAACAACACCCCATATGCAGTACATTTGCCTGTATTGGATGACATGGTATAAAATTACAATACAATCTGACAGTCTGATTGAAGTATGTTTTCAAAAGTAGTCAAAACACTACTTTTGGTGCAATTTAGCCCATTCAAAATCAGTGGGCTCAAATCACAACACACATTTTTCCTACAGCCACTATAAGAATGAAGGTTTCATTTCAATTGGGGCTGTGAGCAACATAACTGGGCTTTATTTAGAACTTGTTAAATTTGGATGTTTATGTGCAGCGCACTGACCTGATCTGTAACCATAGTATAGGATGTCAAAATTCGTAAAGCAGGCCTTTACTCATTCTAGGAAGGTCCTCTCTCCTTCCCCTCCCTCTTACATTTGGAAAATTGTTTGTGGTTTTATTTATTTATTTATTTTTTTTTTTTGTTTAATCTGTTTTTTATTTAAAATTTTCACAAGTAAAAGCGAATATGTACGGTCAACAAGACAAGATTGACATTCCAGATAATCCAAATTCCGAATCATAATGAGACCATAAATAATGACAGACTGTTTTTGGGTTTTTTTTTTTTTTTTATATAATTACATTCATTTCTTGCTAAACCCTCGCTTGGGGGGAGGATAATGATGCAGGCCTCATGGGGAGAGACCCTGCAGTGTTTCTGCACATCGATGAGGTCTCATAACTGCCTTGTGGGATGTGTGACGTAGACACATGCATGAAAGGATCAGACTAGTGCCAGGTCCTGTAGACCAGACAGAGACTCGCAGATTGTCTTCATGCGCCAGATCTCCATTAAAGATGGCAGTGCAGGAGAAGTGTAGCAAAAGGAGAATTTTGGCATCATGCAAGATACAGGACTTCATGGTGTAGCCAGTAGATTTGTGTTTTTTCTTTTCTTTTGAGACCGACACAAATATTTAGGCCTGGTTCACACTATTACGGCTTTGTGGGCCGCGTTAGCTTGGGCACAGCAGCCTATTCATTTGAATGGGCTGCTGTGCCTGTGTTTCACTTAGGAAAAAAAGTTCCTGCAGCATTTTAACTACTTTACAACTGCGCTATAGCCGAAAGACTGCTACAGCGCGGTTATCCAGTTTTGTGAGGGCGTTTATATGACATCCTCCCAGAACGTGCACCCGGCGCTGTCAGTGATCACTGTATCCTAATGACACTGCTGATCACAAAGTAAATACAGTTGCCGGTTATCGGCAGCACTTTCCTTATTCTGTCACAGTATGAGAAGTACTGCCGATAACCGGCAAATGTCACAGAGCAGATCTGCATTGATTATCAATGCCATTCATTGCTGCATATCAGTGCTGCCTCATCAGTGTCCATTAGTGCTGCCTATCAGTGCAATAATGCACATCAGTGAAGGAGAAAATGTACCTGTTTGCAAAATTTTATAATACAAATAAACTTTTTTCTTTAAAATTTTCTGCTTTTTTTTGTTTATAGTGCAAAAAAATAAAAATCTCATATGGGTATAGTGTTGCATGACTGCGCAATTGTCATTCAAAGTGCAACAGCGCTGAAAGCTGAAAATTTACCTGGGCAGGAAGGGGGTAAAAGTGCCCGGTAGGCAAGTGGTTAAAAACGCAGTGGCCAGGATATTTGCGTTGGTGCTTTTGCACCATGCAATTTCCCTGCGGCACCCACAAACGCACTGCATTTTTATATGCGTGGGAGTACTATTAAGAATGAATGGCAGCCCCCGTGTTTTAAACAGTGCATTTTGGTTGCATGTGCGGGATCAGGTACAATTTCCATCTTAATTTGGCTTTATTAAAACTTTTTTTGTTCTTTAATTATCTAATGAGAAATTAACAACTTGTACTAATTTCTTCATCCACTGCCTCCTTTTTGTAGGTGACATTTCGGACGAGGATTTACCACTGCAACATAAACAGCCAAGGAGTCATCTGTCTCGATATCCTGAAAGACAACTGGAGCCCAGCATTAACCATTTCTAAAGTTCTCTCTCCATCTGTTCACTGCTTACAGACTGCAACCCTGGTAAGAATCCTCCCTAGAAATCAATTCTTCACCACATTATTATTATACAGGATTTATATAGCGCCAACAGTTTGCTCAGCGCTTTACAATAAAACGGGAGACAATACAGTTTAATACAAGAGGGTTAGGAGGGCCCTGATCCTTGGAGCTTACAATCTTAGAAACCACAGTCTTGCATTAGAGCGAACAATTTTATTTTACTTCTAGACTAAACATATCCCAATATCCATATATAACTTTAAACAGTTTTCTGTATGCCAGGTATGATGCAGTAATTTAATAAAATTGTGATATGATCTGCAATGCATATGTTTGCAATTGTTATACTGTAGCTTAAAATGAATATGTGATTTATGCATGCAGGGTAAAGGTTCACTTTAATGCCCTCTCCCCAGCAGCATGTACTTCTCTACACTCCTCTGTTACTCCAATTAGTGGGGGGGGGGGGGGGTTGAAATGGCTGAACTAATTGTCAGGGGAGTGAACGAGAGATGAATATGTGCTGTTGAGATACCAGGCAATAAAGTAAACCTGTTACTTTAATGAATTGAGTCTGACTAGGTAAGTATTATAACAATTGTGCACGAGTTTTAAAAAAAAAATATAAATGCTTAATATATGTGTATTTGAGGTAAAGTTATTCCATAGGCAGGTAACTGTCTTAGATGCCACTGACTTCCTCTTACCCCTAACTAACTGAAGCTTACTAAAGATTACTCTTTCGTCTAGATAAGGGGTCTCCAAACTGCGGCCCGTGGACCAGATGTGGCCCTTTTCTTGCTTTTATCCAGCCCTTGGGGCACTATTCCTTCCAGTGACATAAGCCACAATTCCTCCCATTGACACCAATGATGGGGCACTACTCTTCCCACTGACCACCAACCCTATGGAATGTTCTACTCCCACTGGCCACAGTTCGGCTCCCCTAAAGTTTGAAAGGTGCTAAACTGACCCTTTTTTTTTTTTTTAAACTTTAGAGACTACTACTGATGGGTCATAGAGTCCCCAATTTACATAAATGTCACTCATTACCACGAAAGGGTTGGAGTTAATGATTTCTGCAAGAGGTTATACCATTCTTTTAGCTTTAAGAAAAGGGTTGCTTTATGACAGCTATACACATATATGCAGTGGTAGGGATGGTGGGCATTGACACCACCCAGTCCTGCATATACGTGTTGCTCTCAGTTCTGAGGTGTATCCCATCAGTGCCCCAGTACTGTGTCAAGGCCTCTGTGCAACCAGTCGCAGTCCCACATGATTGGGAACCCCTCTTATTGGTCCTAGCATCACAGCCCATTTAAGCCAACATAAAGGGGATAAGGGTCAATGCAAATGCTTTTGTCAATAAATGTATTTGCCATGCTTTGTTTTGACTACCTTGACAACATTTTTTCCCTTTTTTTTTTTTTCCCTAGCTGACCCTCTTGTTGGAAGCATCGCCACCCAGTACATGACCAACAGAGCAGAGCATGATAGAATGGCCAGACAGTGGACCAAGAGATATGCTACATAAATAAACTTCAGCACTCCAGTTTGTCTGTGATAGTGAGAGCTGCTTGTTCATTGGGCAATGGAGGGTGGGAGTCTGCAAAGAATAGGTTATTTCTATAACAGATTTTATTCAGTCTTTTATTTCCAGAGAATTTTGTTATTGTAACTTAAGGTATCTTTCTGCAGTAACTGACTGACTGGATTACAGAAACCTCTGAATTATGATCTGATGAGGAATACAAAGAATGTACATTTGTTTTCCCCCTTATTTTGGTTCTGGATGCGATTTATGTAAACTATTCAAACAATTTAATTTTGTACAGTTATACACTGCTTATACTGTATACCTCTGTGCTGTCCTTGTTCAAGTATTGAATGCATATTTGTGTGTGAGAGATGAATTTCAGAGTGTGTGACAAACATAACCACGTCTCTACTGTAAGGGGCCTGGTTAGCTGTATTAAACATTTTACACTTTATATAATTTTCTTCTTTTTTTGTATGTTGGTGAGCTTTGTTGAAAGAGATGGTAATGGAATCTGTAGTAAAATACCTTAAGATGTTTAAATGTAAAAGTGGATAAGAATTACTCAGTGGATTGGTTATATGTTGTAGGCTAATGAAGTCTGCATTTGTTACTGTGCTAATAAAAGTGGAGAATTATATGTTTGCTGTGCTTTTTTGATGGCCGGTTTGATGGGAAAGTATCTATTCCATCTTGCAGTGCTTGATGGTGTATTGCGGTGAAACCAAAATTCTCAATTACTGAATGCTTTCACTAGTATGAAGAAGGGTAAACACTGCTAAGTGGTGAAAACCATAAGAAACCTCTCTTCCCACCAATTACCATACAGGGCAAGACTTTTGACTGCCAACTTCTTTGGTTGTCATCCTCTTGCAGTACTCAAAATCCCAAAGTATGCAGCTGCCATAGCTTCCAAGTTACAACCTGCATTATTTTTGGGTTAGTGATAAAGATAATAACCTAGATACTTGCAGCTTGAAAAACCAAGATGATTTATATAATTTTTTCACAAAGTTTTTAACTTATATGTCGTATATGCAGCATAGGCATACTTATTACACCACAAAACACATTCTGCTATGCCTCCCAAGCATAAGGATACCACATGTATGAGATTTTCACATGCTAGATGCTTAGGAGGGCCCAAAATACAAGGAGCACCTTTTGGACTTTCACGGAGCATATTTTTGGAAGCCCTTGAATATTGTGGAAAGACCCACAAAATTATCCTACTTTGGAAAGCAAATACTCCAATGTATTTTCTGAGAGGCATAATGTGTCCTTTGAAAGTTTTTGTTAAGTTTTTGGAAAATGCATTTATCCAATAGGATAGAAAATTAGAAATTATTCTTTACACAAAGTTGGCAATTAATAAGATATTTCTAACATACATCATAGGCATACTATTGCAGGCTATAGACGGGTCGAAAATCGGCCAATTTTCGCACCCGTTAGTGGGTTAATTGGTCAGCCGGTTTTCGGGGGTTTGGGCACATTTTTTTTTATCGGTAAAGTTGGAAGATTCATGGCTGATTTTGACGATCGGCCAATTTTCCTGACAATGATGGGCAAATTGGCCGATTGTTTTACCGATAGAAAAAAATATGCACATGATCCATGACCTGGAGGAAAAATAATTATTATTCCAGTCTGCTATTATAGTGTATATGAAAAATCTTGTGGTTGCAACAATATCTATTTGTATCCAAATAAAACCATCTGTATCCGAAATGGATACATTGTTGCAACCGCAAGACTTTTTCATGTAAAATATAATAGCGGAGCTCTCTGCAAGGGACAGAAGTAAAAATGCCAGCCGTAGACGGGACGAAAATCGGACAATGTTTTACCGTTGGTGGTAATGTCGGCCAATTGAACGACCGATTTTTCGTTTTTTTTTTTTGCCTATCACATTTTTGGAAGCCCTGGAGCACCAGGACAGTGGAAACACTCCTAAAATGACCACATGGAACGCAAACACCACAAGGTATTTTCATAGCAAGTCTTTTGAAATCTGCATTTTTTGCTACACGTTTTTGAAAAATGTGGAATGAAAATTAAATTTTAATTTGTTTGGAAAAGCCAAATACAGTACAAAAAAACCATCATGACACTGCAAAATTACAAAAGCGTGATAATAAGATGGGAAGATATAAAACCGCTTCAGAATAACAAAATGACAGAGAATATCCAAATATGTATAGACATTAGATCATAATACCGCATAGGAATATTGGAAAGACATACAAGATCGTTGAGGTTATCGAAACCCGATAGAATCACTTCACACAGATTACATCTTAAGTCATATCAGAAAACTATCATTTGGGAATCCAGATCTCCCATTTGGCAGAAAATCGGGTCATTTTATCATGTAGTGTATAAAAAAATTCTTTCCATCAACATAATGGTATCGAATCACTCGAGAACTAAACGAGAATGGGATAACTGAAGATTTCTAATGTATATGGCTATACCCATTATATTGCCATGCAACTGGTGTAGATATGTCTCTCTTCTTGGCACAGAACACCTGAGATAGGTGCAAAAAGAAGGCATATTGGAAGAATCAGAGACAGTGTTTGACCTGAAATATCAGAGGCAATCACAGAAATTCTATGCCACACTAGTGTCACATCATCACAATTCGAAATCGTATGTACCAGTGAACCTCTAGATCAGTGATGGCGAACCTATGGCACGCGTGCCAGAGCTGGCACGCAGAGCCATCTCAGTGGGCACGCCAGGAGGAAGAGGAAGAGAACGCGCTCTCCTGCGCACCTCCGGGGGCGTGCACCGGGCGATCTCCGTGATCGCTGTGTCCTGCGGACACAGCTGATCACGTGACATGGTAAAAGGCCAATCACAGCGGCCTTTTACCACGTGATCAGCCGTGTCCAATGACACGCTGATCACCGGGAAATGCAAATGCCGGTTCTCGGCTGCACTTTCCTCACGCTGTCAGATCGTGAGGAAAGTACTGCCGAAAACCGGCAGTTGTCAGAACAGGGATCGGCACCGATCATCAGGGTCACTGATCATCAGTGCCCTGATGATCGGTGCCCACCTGTGCCACACACAAGTTCTGCCCACTTGTGCCCAGCAGTGCGCCCACCTGTGCCCAGCAGTGCGCGCCCCACCTGTGCCCAGCAATGCACCCACCTGTGCCCAACAGTGCGCCTACCTGTGCCCAGCAATGCACCCACCTGTGCCCAACAGTGCGCCCACCTGTGCCCAGCAATGCACCCCACCAGTGCCCACCTGTGCCGCCCACCTGTGCCACCCACCAGTGCCCATCAGTGCAGCCCAGCAGTGCTGCCAGTCAGTGCCCAGCGGTT